TTAGATAGATTTCATTTCATTGTCTGGGTTTATAATCTAAACAGGCTTGTCTAAATGCGTCTTTCTAATGTTAATCCTGATAATATCCTTACTGCTTATTAATTCAATCTTGCCTTAGGGCTGAATATTCATCTTTGTTAAGCAGCTTGGCTTGGTGGTGCTCAGTAGTGTGTTCCACCTTATACAAGGCTAATTTTAACACCTTTTGTTTGAGGTGAGACAATGAAACTTCTTATTGCCTCCAGTTTAGTTCAGATGCTTGAATTGAAATAAGGCCACCCTTTCTTCATTTATAGAAGATTCATTCCCGTTCTTTCTGTGTCACATTTCTCATGCTCATCTCCTGTTTATCTTGGGGTTTTGTGTTTTCGACAACATTTTTTCAATAGCTTTCTGCTTTCTTTGGTAAATAGTGAATGTATCGCTGATTATAAATGAGGGAATGAGTGTCAAGAAGAGGAAAATCCAGAAATGTAATGGTTCCACTATTGCACAATAAGAAACAGCTTGAAGGTCCTTTGAAGGCAGAAGAATAATCAGTTAATAGTGACATTCTGTGACCACCAGCATAGACCAAAGCATCTGCTATCCCATTGAGGGGCCCTTGAAATCTTTGCCTAGAGAAATGGTCATAAATATTAAATGTTAATTATGGAAATATTTACTGTCAATTTTCTTCTGAATAACAATTGCTTAAATTGTTTGTGGTTATTCTTTATTTTATTTTGCGATTCCTATAACTTTCAAACGAGCAGTTGCACATTATGGAAAATCTTTAAAAGAATAAAAAGTAATGGTGCCAATCTTAAAAATGACCTGTAGAAAAAGAGGATCAGCTATGGTATGTTTTATTTTTTAAAAGAAAGTCATTAAAAAGAAATTCAGATCTGCTTCTGTTAAAAATGTTAAATCTTTAAAGCAAAATCAGCAGGACCAAACACTGGCTTTGGCTGGCTGTGCTGGCAGACACAATTTGCATAATCTTTCTCTTCCATTCTTCTTCCCCTGAAAAAAAAAATCCTAATACTGTCCTGCTGTGCGGGGTCTGCTTTTTTCCAAATCAATCAAGTGTTGATCCATTGGTTATGACAGGAATTGATTGATCAGGTTGTCACCCAAGAATGATGTCATGGGCTGAGAGAGAGTGACTGCTCCAAAGTCATCCAGCTAGTTTTCATGCCTAAAGCAGGACTAGAACTCAATGTTTCCTGGTTCCTAGCCTCAACTGAGTGGTGGGAGAAGAACCCTGAAATTGAATAGGGTACAGATTATGGTAGAAGAGAGGAATCAGAAAGGAAAGGGGAGACAAACAAATTTTCGGTCTAAAGACTACTAGGTATGAGGCAGGTAAAATGAAAGCACAGTTTCATGTTTCCACCATGATAGAAGGATTTGGAGAGGCATGTTGTAAGATGTAGGATAGGGCCTCAAATGATTACTAGAATGAGTAAGCAAAGTCATAAGTGAAGTAGTAATCTTTTTGATGTCATTGTTCAAGAGCTATTTAAGATTTTTATTGGTTAAAAACAGCACTTTGAATTGGGTTTTGAGTCACTGCTAAAAAATTAGTGAGGAGGGATAGTGGTGTGCTCCATTTTTTCTGTCTCTATATACATATAAGATGCAATTCCCCAGGCTGGCAATTAGTGGTATTTAGCAAGCTTTGCAAATTACCTCATTGTATTGTGAACTCTTCCATACTCTGTATTCATGCTAAGAAAAAGTTACTTAACAATCTACTGCAATTTGAAAGTGATCACTTTTGCTTTGAGGTTCTTACAACTTGTATGTAATTACTCTCACTTCAAACCTTTTATCTGCATTGCTACTTACAACAATTAGGATAAAGAGAAGGACATGAGCTTTGTAACATGACCCTGTGGAAGTGAGAGCCAGATAGCCCCATGATAGAAACAATGTCTCATATATCAATACCTTTGACAGAGTTATTAATAAGATGTGTCACCAGACCATCTTCCCATAGTGCACACTGGAGACAATGCATTACTTAAACAAAATCTTTGATAGTAGATCAGTTATGTTAATTGTAACCAAATCATGGATAAGATGTACCACCAAGCTATCACCGAGAATTCTATTTTTTACTCTCTTGTAAAAAGTATAAAAGTTGACAAAATACTCCAAATACCAAGAACCTCAACATAGACCTAAAGTCTTGGGAAGGTGCCACTCAGGGGCTCGATGGCTCCAGAAGATCTGCCCATTGTCATTTCATGGAATTACTGATTAGTCGAAGGATAACTCAAAGGGTTGTAGTTTGGTATATCTTTCCTTTTCTTTGTAAATTTCTTAATATTTATTCAAAAAAACCCTTTTTCGCATTTGCCATGATTTGAGCCTCTAGTATTGTTTTCCAATCCCAGTTCTGATTGGCTACCAGCTGGGTATCAGTATAATAGGCCAAGACACAACTTGTAAATTAATGAAACTGATACCAAGATGACATGATTCTTAAATTTACATGGACAGCAACTGGAAGGCTACATTTTGCATCTGAATTGAGACTGGTTTTTGAATGCAGAGATAAATATGACGCATATTTAATTGTTTCACTTCATTTTTACTCTGAAAAATGTGTCTCTGAGACTGAGATGAAATAGCTTTCCACTGTGTCTGGTTTGAAATCTCAACTTACATTTTCCATGCCTAAACTAAGCATTTTATGCAATGCAATGTATCGGTTAACATAAATACGGATTCTAAACAATTCTGCTACTGTACTCCATGGGCCAGTGGAAGGGGTACTTACGAAGCATCTATTGTAAATTTGTCACAGAGCATTAATTTGAGCAGTTCTTGGTCCTGTGTAATAATGTAGTCACATTTGTTTGGTTTTTCAACGAAGACTGTTGTATTTTGGTGTCAAAAGTTGTATTTAGAAGGACACATTGATGTTGAATGTCTCTACTCCCCTTTCATTTTATTTCTTGTAGTTCGCAGATTACTCTTATTTATTCCTGATGTTCACATCACTCAGGTCATATCAATGAGTCACTATTGCAGAACACCTGTGCAAAGGTCCGGTGTCCCATAGTCCAGCATTTTCACCACCCAGATTATTTAAAAAAAATCAGCCAAGGTTCTATCTTCCCCCTCTTTTTCTTCCTCTAACTAATTTCAGGGGAAAAGAAGAAGCCGAGTGCAGCAATAGCTTTGCTCCTAAGCTTGTCTGAACTCTTTTTAAAAGAAAACAAAAAATGGGGAAAGCAGTAGTATTGATTCCTACTTTAGGGAGACAGGATCATAGGGAAAAATGGCAACAACCACATGCAAAAAAAAAAAATGTATGTGAGAAGGCCTAGGTTACCACTGTAAATGAAGCAAAGTCGTATTGACCTCCACCAGTGGCTTGTAAAAATGCTGCTCTTCCTAAAAATAAAATTACACTATGCAAACCTGATCTCCAACCTGATATGGAGGAGACATTTTTATTTAACAATAATTTCTGAACTGAAAACAGAAAGAGGGATAAATTATTTTTTTTAAAATTCCTTTAATAATACTCCCTTTTACTTGATGAGTTAGAACACAGACTTTTTCTCAGTTATAAATTATAATCATTACACTTTCTCATTCAATAAGGTAGATTTTCTGTTTATTCCCTTATTTGTCTTTTTAAGATTTCATCCTAGCTTTAATAGTAGAAGATTGATTGAACAAACTCCAGTGATTATTCAGCTGGCTGACTCCCTATCCAGCTATAGCGTGAAGCTGCTGGTTGAATGCAGAAGGACGAGCGAATTGGTTCCAGAGCCTAGAAAATAAGACAGTTTGCTTTTTATTTGCCAGATGGTTGTGATTCAAGCTAATGTAATCACAAGAAATGTCCCAGAAGAGCTAGCATGTGTGTTTCGGCATTTTTTTAGTGTCCATAGTAGTGGCATGATGTCCTTGCTATCTTCCACTTACATTAAGCTGGCATTAAACTGAATAGAAAGATTTTTGAGCCTCACTCACTCACCAAATGGCAAGTATCCAATGGAAAATCAAAGAAAGCATGCAAGAGCATAAAAATGAAGAGTTAAAATATAGAAATTTCACAGAAACTCTTTATTTTAAAAACATATATGAGTGTCCTTCATATATAATCAGTAGCAAAAGCAGCACAAATATTTGATCCCTTGTTTGCCATTAGAATATTAAAGATAGTCCTCAATTTATGACCACAATTGGTCCTGGAATTTTGTTTGTAAGTCCAGGCAGTCATTAAAACCTGACTAGATTTTACAATTGTTTTTATGATAATAGTAAAGCTTGTCACGTTAAATGAGCCACGTGGTTATTAAGTGAATCATGTCTTTGTTAAGTGAATCTGGCATATCCAATGGCCATTTTTTTTGCCATTTTCTGCTGTGAGCTAGTTGCCTAACACTTGAAATGTGGTGACATGATTGGGATGGTGGTGATGTTTTATGGTGGTTGGAAGTGTTTTATAGGCCACAAATAATCCTTTCCAAGGCCATTGTAATTTCAAACAGGTGAGGCAACTGGTTGTTAAGCTGGGACAACCTGTAATGCCAATTTCACCTTCCTACAGATTCTAATCTGTTGCATCCCCTTTCCTACTTCTTCTGTCCTCCCAAACTACCCGCTTTGTAAAATCTGTCTTGGTGTGGAGGACCTGGAGGTATAGTAGCAAGGATTAGTCATCCCTAAACATGTTTATTTTACTAAAACATACATAAAATATTCTGTGGTTAATTTTATGCAATCTGTTTTTCTTAAGACAGCGTTGTGTGTTTATAATAATTACTAATGTACACAAAGTATGCATTGAGGAAAAAGCATTAACAACAGCCATTGTCAAAATGCTTGCATTTAACCCACAATGCAGGGAATGATCATTGCCTTGTAGATTACAGTTTATTATGATGCTGTATAATTTAGAATGGTATGCTAACAGAGCACCATGTGAGGACGTCTTCTTTCATCTAAATTCCATTACAGTAATAAGCAGCCTTTCTCCTATTTTTCCCTAGCTATCCGTTTCCCATGATGTTCAGCAGCTGCAGCAAGAAAGATCTGGAAAACAGCTTGGAGAAAGGCGTGGGGATGTGTCTCTTCAACCTTCCAGAGGTTAAGGAATCATTTGGTGGCCCCAAATGTGGGAACGGCTTTGTAGAAGAGGGAGAAGAGTGTGACTGTGGTGAACCTGAGGTAGGAGTAACACTCTTTGTTTTAAAGGAAGACCAAGTTCATTTTGGAATATCGCACCATATTTTCATCTAGTTTTTTCTCATTTTTCATTGCAGTACTCAAATCTCTAAATAAAATTGTCATACTATTCTTTCTAAATGCCTGTGGGCTGGTGTTTCCCAACCTAGAGGCCATATCCAAGAACATGATATTCTACAAAGTTAATATTACATAAAATGGTGTTTTTCAGCCTCAGCAACTCACATCAGACATGTGGAACTCCTCCCAGAATTCCCATGGTGGTTGGGAGTTGGAGTTGGAGTCTACACATATTAAAATTGTTGAAGTGAGAGACATTGACATAAAGGATGGATGATCCATTATGCAGAAGAATGTTCCCTGAGCCATATTATGCAAAGGCCATTCAGTTACAGACTTGGAACAGATGGCTCTTTTGCTAATACTCTGTTTTTATTTTCTATGGCTGCACAATACCATTTTCCCAAATCCACTGATTTATGACTCTTCTCTTCAGTATAGAGTTGTTAGCATAAAAAACATGCCGGATAAGATTCCTTTGTTTAATTTATATCTTAGCATCCATTTCCACCATACTAGGGAGTGGAGGAAATTGTTCAGATAATCAAAACTAACTATATCAGAAGATGATGGATTTGTTTTGGGTTTTTTTCCTAATACATAATAAATTGAGAGGCACTGAAATAGCAAGAAATCACTTTAGTTTTCTATATAGTTTATTAAATTGATTGAAGTCATAAAGATTTCCTGACAGCCCACTCATTTCTTGAGGTAGACATATCCTGCCCGATGCTTACAAATTCACAATAACTCAGATCTTTCTTGTTTCTTTTCTCCATTTTATTAATACTTTTTAAGTAAAAATATAACATTGTCATGAAACAGGTCAAACCATGGCAAATCTATTACATTAATCAAAGTTGCATTATTTCACTAATTTAACCCAGGATCTATACATCAATATCATTCAAATCCTTGAAGAGAATGAGGTATCCTCTGTGAAAATTCTTCTAAAACATGCATGCAAAACTCATTTTATTAATTGTTAAGCAATTCTAGGAGGCATGTTTTGTTGATGGAGATCAAATATCAGATTTCAAATGAACAAAACAAAAACAAAGGTATCTGGGGATGTTAGTTAGCTATTTTTTTGAAATTGGGTCACTGTGAGGGGGTGGACTGAAAATTTGATAAAGAAACTACAGATCTTGAGTTGGTAAAATTACTTACAGATGAAATAGGAGGGAAATTTTCTTCTTGTAAACTTCTGACTGATTAAAAGTGACTGCTGCCCCAAAGAGATGTAGTGGTATGTGGGAATAACCCTAGAATAACCCTAGAGAATGGTCTGATAAGATAGGGCGTAGCCAGCAGCTGCATAATGGGTGGAGAAAGAGGCTCAGATGGGACCCTCTGATGGCGAGAGAATTTTACTTTTAGACTTGCATGATTCCGTTACTGTAACCTTGCAATGAAATATAATTTAATCATCTGGTTGTGTTTCCTGTCTGGTCTACCTGGGAAAGCTGACAAGAGACGCATCTTGGATTTACTTCTCCAGTATTTTTTTTAAAAATCTCTGCTTGAACAGGTAGATCTTGACTTCGGACCACAATTGAGCTCAAAATTTTTGTTGCTAAGTGAGACAGTTGTTAAGTGAATTTTGCCCCATTTTTCGACCTTTCTTGCCACAGTTGTTAAATGAATCACTGCCACTGTTAATTTAGTAACACTGTTGTTAAGTGAATCTGGCTTCCCCATTGACTTTGCTTATCAGAAGGTCACAAAAAAGGATCACGTGACCTCCGGGACGCTGCAACCGTCAGTTGCCCAAGCATCTAAATTTTGATCACATGACCGGGGGGATGTTGGAATGGTTCTAAGTGTGAAAATGATCGTAAGTCACTTTTTTCAGTGCCATTATAACTTCGAATAATCAATAAATTTGCAGAAATGTTGTTGAATGTTTATAAACTGCTTCCTTTCTGTAAAAACTGGGTAGAATTTACAGAGAAGCTAATTTCAACTCAGGATTGGAAGAAATGTCTTAATGATAAAAGAAATTTTAGAGTGAAGTGGATTTCCTTGAGAATTTATGGATTCTCTCTTGCTGGTACATTTAAGTAGCGGCTGAACGGCCATCTGTTCGGTAGGCTGTCATTTCAAGTTTTAAAAGTAATAGCAAATGTTCAATTTTTCAGCACTATTTATGAGCATCAATGTTATCTCCCTAGTTGCATAATTTATTCAAGTGTGTTGATTTGAACAGCATGCCACCTGAAAAGGCTACTGGAATAATCAATCTTTTCCTATATCTATCCGTTGAAAATGTTGAGCATATTTGTTCTTCATTCCAAGTAAAAGACTTTTCACAAACCAACTCAGTGAAAATTTTCTGTTCCTATTCTTTTAAGCATCTGCAACAGGATCAGTTAGCCATATCTTCTTTTTTTCCTTAAGGTCTGCAAAATATAATAAAAGTAATAACTTGTGTTTCCTCCTTCTGACCTAGTTGCTATCTTATGTTATGATTTCAGCATCGGAGATTTCTTATTTGTTCAGTCAGATGGAGTTAAAAGTTGAGTAGTAGTTTTATCTACAGCTATTTTGGTGAGGTCCTCAGGGACCTGATGTTCAGGGATCATCAATTTAACTCACTTCCTTCTGACTTTAACCTTGGAAACAAATCCATTTTTTCCTGAGAGTTCTTATTGGTTCAAACTACAGCAACAAAATATTTATGATCTTATGGGTAGGGAGAAGTACCACGATTAAATTGTGCTCCCTGGATCATTAATGTATTTGTTAGCCAATAGTGCAGATTATATTTACAACCAATCTTTTATTAGTTTCAGACTTAAGATTTAAAACTATATATCTACAGTAGACAGAATGTACAGCTGAGGCCAAATCTTCAGGTGAACATAACTATTTTTTTTGAAGTAATTTCGTATCAGTGGTATATTCATTCTCAAATCAATTACTATATCCACATCCATCATTTATGCTTCTTTTTAATTAACCCTTTATTAATTTATTAATTGGCAAACATTTATAATTTAAAATGCCTTTCACTAACCTTTTGCTAACTTGATGCTCCATAAGAACCCTTCAAATAACAAAGCACTTTTTCCCCTTTTTAATACAAAGCCTTGCATGGCCACACCACACAACAGATTAGATTCGACTAAAATGGATTTGGGTAATTTTTGTTTGGTGTGTTGTAAGAATTAATCATTACATACTATGTTCTGTTATCCAAGCCATTATTTTGAAGCATAATGTGATTTGTTTGGGTAAAATGTGATTTTTGAACACAACAATTGTGTGTTTTGTTAATTTTAACTTAGGCTTCAGTGTGTTGAACCCAACCTGTACATCACTGGTTGCTAACTACCTGACTGTTAGCAAAGAGATTGTTTGGCTACCTTCTTCAGCCCTCCAGCACTTATAGTGATGTCATGAATGAAATTTATAGAGAAATGCCCCCGTGATAAGAAAACGAAAAGTAAATGACATATTATAGCTGTCTCCATTTCTCAAAATTGTCACATATAAATGTCTATGAAGGGGGAGGGTATAAGTATAGCCCTCAGGCACTCTCTTCTGAATCCCAGATGCTACCCAAATTGTAGTTTTTCATGGAATTATAGAAGCTGTTTCAGATTATATTATCTACTGCAGAAATTGGGCAGAACAGAAGGAATTTGCTATACTTTTTTGAAATCTCAATGGAAGGGAAAACGGTGATTCTGCCAATCCTTAATCTAAACCAATTACCATCCCCTGTGACATTTGAGATACTTGAACCGTGAAGCGAAAAGTGAAAGTGAAAAACATACCAAATAAATAAAAAAGAAATAGGAAGGGCAGTACATGGGAAAGATTATTTTGGATTGTAAAAGCTTTGGAAATGGGTAGCTACTATTATTACAGAAAACTCTACAGCCCATTTCAACAGATGGCATTATATTATACACATACAACAAAATGAAAATGAGAAGATTGTATCAAAGTAAGTAGTATTTCTAAGGTGAACCCAAAGGTTAGAACAGATTACTAAGCTAACAATATGTTACCATGCAAGAAAGGTTAATGTCCTTTCAAATTGCATTATCAACAGTATCATTTCCAAGACACTTGAACCAATAATATGACTCTGCTCAGTCTAGAGAACTATGCCAGTTCTAATCAATACAAAATAAATTGGAAGCAATTCAGGGAGAGCAAAAATAGTGATAAAGTTCTAGAATAGAAGGTCTGGTTCTCAATGAGAGAAAAAAAACTTAGGAAGATACTACTAGTTGTAGCTTAAATTACTTGAAGTTTAATTTTTAATATGAAGTGGGATACAATACATACATGCATACATACATACACTTGAAGTGATCCAAATAGGCACAGAACTAGTTCAAAGAAAGTATAAATTAATATAATATCCTTAACTTTTTTTAAAAAAAATAGCTCCATAATATTTTTTTAAATATTAAAAGAATTACAGGGAATAAAGTTAGTAGATCAGTTGCCAGTAAACAAAGAACAAGAGTTTTTATTAGCTTGAATAATCTCAGCCTTATAAACTTTAGTTATTGATGGCTTTATAGGAAAGACTGGCAGAAATATTGCTTTGGTTCGTACTTTTAAATGGCTCTTATGAAAGTAGCTAGTATTGCAATCTGTTCATAATATAGTGGGATTGGTATAGAAATAACTTCTCCGTTTATTGGTTTTTATTGGTTTTTTGCCCTTTATATGATTGTGACCCCTTGCCAAAAAGAGTTATTGTTGCAGAAATAGTGGGAACTGCTTGGATAGTCTCAATAACATGTGCTGGTTCATAAAATTAGTGATGCAGTGAAATTCCCACCATAATGGGATGCCACCAACACCATCAAGCATTTCCAATGTTTGTTCATGGTGTTATTTCTTAAAAATTAAAATAAAGATATGTTAGGAATGTTTTTTATTGTTGAATGAAGAATTGACTGTCATATTGAAAGTCAAGGGCGTGTATATAGCACTTGATCCATTGTGAGGTCTAGAGCTGAGAGAGAAAGTACAAAGTTAGCACAAAGTTAACCATGGCTAAAGATGGAGTTACCCCGGGTCTCTTCTGTACCATCCTAGCTACTATGCCATGATGACTCTTAGGAATAGGATCTCTTGGTAGGATATCATCAATAGGACATTTAAGAAAAGAAAAAGTAAGTTGAGGCAAGGACAATCCTGAAATCTATGGACTTGACAAATTAATCCAGCACTTAGCCTGAATTTTATTTAATTCTGTCCTTAGAATCAAGTCATCCTGCACACTGAGACTGTATTTGTTACAAACTTGATTGTTTGATAAAACACTATACTATAACTGGTTTTTTTTCCCATTTAGGAATGTACGAACCAATGCTGTAATGCTACAACCTGTACTTTAAGGCCAGGAGCAATGTGTGCACACGGACTTTGCTGTGAAGATTGCAAGGTGAATGTTTGATCATTCTTCATTTGGGATGGGCAGAATTTCATAGTAATGTTTATGTTGGTACAGATATTCAAGGCTGGGGTGTTTATGTTGGTTCAGATATTCAAGGTTGGGGTATGGGTGTGTTTTCAATAGAATTCTTTGTGTTCCTGTCTTGTAATGATGAAAATTTGGGGGAAGACTATTTTTTAAAGAAAGAGGCCAGCATATCTTCTCCTATAACACAGTGTGTATTTTTTCATATCCTTTGCTGCTAGTACTGTATTAATAGATGGAGCTCTGTATATGTATGCCCACCATGGCAGAGTTTTTTTCAGGTTTAAGATGTGTACTTCTGTGTGATGCAGAACATCAAAGCCCTGTACTTGCATTTTAATGAGGAATGAAGGTAGGCCTTTGAAAGTAAGCCATAAACAATTCTGCAGTATATCAATGAGAGGCATATAAAGCACTCTTTCGCCTCTCATGCTGTGTTTAATAGATGCCTGGTACAGAATCTTAGGAAGAAAGAGACAACTTTAGCTGTAGCATAAAAGCCACAATATAATACAATTTCTTCTTTGAAACTGAACCCCCTTTTTTCCCCCAACAGCTGAGGCCAGCAGGGATTTTATGCAGGGGTACCAGTAATTCCTGTGATCTTCCTGAATTCTGTACTGGAAGCAATCCTCATTGCCCAGCCAATGTTTACTTGCATGATGGGCACTCTTGCTATGGGGTAGATGGGTACTGCTATAATGGGATGTGCCAGACTCACGAACAGCAGTGCATCACCCTCTGGGGACCAGGTGAGTTTGATTACTTGAGCTTTATATTTTTTTTTCTCTAGATATTTATTCACACAAACAAATTAGCATTGGCATTTGGAGGAGGCAAGTAATGATTTCTTATCTCTCAGAATTCTGACCCCAGAACAAATGTTTCCTGCTGCATTTCATCACCACATGCCAATTCTTTCCTCAAGCTGATAGTCAGTGATGCATTCCTGTTGATGCAACTAAGTTGGTGAAGGATATGATAGAAGAATAGAATTAAAGTATGCAAAGAATGATATCTTCTAATTCAATTAACCTCCTTGCCTTAGTGTACATAGAACCTCTATTAACCTATTAAGCTTAAAGTTTTCTGGGAAATGATTGTTACCACACCATTCTCTGACTATCTCTTGCTCACAGGTGTTTTGGGTACATAGCTTCCAACCAGCATGGAGTTTGGTTCCAACATGTTGAATGACAGGCTCTAACCTGGAGAAGGCTGAGAGTGATCTTTCAGAAGTCGTCTCAGTCTTTCAGAAGAATTACAGCTTTGTATATGTCAGCATGTGCTCTGCCAAAATGAGCCAGTTTTTGTTTTTGTTTTGACTGGGTCATAGCCATAGGTTTCACTTCAGACCTGTGCAGTTAGTTAAACATTACATGGAGATTCCCAGCTACCATCATTGACCTTATTTGTACCACCTGAGAACAGCTGCATCCTTTCCTGAATAAAGGTTGACTTGCTTTGCTGAAAGTTACTTAACTGTAAAATGCAAATACTTTCCTACTTCCTCTTAGATGTAATTACTATTATGTTTGCTTAAGCACTTAGAGATTTCTGGGATGAGAGCCACTCTGTAAGTGTGCGGCATAACCTCATAGCTGAAGATGAATTAGGATGAAATGGTGCCACCAAATGTATTTCCATCAGACTGGGAACCGACCTCAACCATTATCTGGCTTTCACTGATAAAGTAATCTAAATCAAGAACAGAGGAAGTGCATTAGAAAACTGCATATCCATCCATTCCAATCTTTTTGATGTTGTAGTTCTGCACCATCCCCTTTCCAACATTTCAGTCATTTGCTACAGTATGTTATTTTTTTCTGCAGTCAGTGCTTTTCACAACAGAATGCTGCCGAATGGGGAAATTAGAATGCAAAATAATGACTGGGAGTAGCGAGGTCCTAAAAAGGCAAATAGGTGATGAAGTAAGAAATTTAATTAAAATAATATGAGGTTACTTGGATTTCAAAAATCCTTTTGAGAGAAGGTCAGAAGATTTCACGAACTAAGTAGTTTGTTCTTTTCAATCAATTTCACTGTATCATTTAACTTCAATTCCTATAGTATTCACTAAAATGCATTTTTTTATCAGTTGCTGCCATTGCTGATGATGGTGGTGATGATGTGCAGAATAACTGTAGTTTTATTGTATTGTATTTTTACTAGGAAACAAGTGAGGCTCAACTGAGGGTTCTGCAGAAATTTGGATCTGAAGGGCAAAATGTGATTCAGGGCACATGTGGCTACATGCACAGCTTCTTTTGGCTTCCATTAAAGCTGCTTCTGCAACAAACCTGTGATTCCCAAGAAAATATACATTTGGTATAAGGGATTCTAGGGAGGTACAGACCTACCTATATACAATCCAAATTGTATTTTGCCCTTCAAATTCAGATCTTTGCACTGGCCTAGTATAAATAAAAGTAAAATAAAAAGTCACCTACAGCTACCAGAACCCTGTTAATGAGCTAGAAATGCTGTGCTGAAAAGCACATGGGGATACCTGATGGTTTCTCCTTTCAAATTCTCTGCAGTTTTGTTAGTTGTTAAACAAAAACAGATAAAGTAGAAAAAATAATTTGTGAAGAAAGCTTCCAGGCAGCAGACCTCGTTAAGAAGTTATCTGAAAAATCCTTTTGGATCCAATTGAAGATATACAGTAATTTCAAATTTTCCATTATGCTTAAAAATTTCTACTAAGATTTACAGTTGTTCTCCTGATTTAAAAATGTTTTGAATTGTTGTATACCATAACACTATATCTATTTTTTTTAAAATTAACATTATAATTTATTTCAATAAAACATCATAGTAGAAAGAATGTTTTATATGCTATAAACAATCCCATGTTAAAGAAATATTTCACAAACTGAATTCAGGACAAATCTGTGTTACATAAGAAAAGTCCTATTCTTTTCCTTCTGCAATCTCTGCCTTTAAATTAAAATGAAACTTTTTAACACTTCATTTCTGTAAAGTTGCATTGCTATAGCTGTGACCTATTTATAGTAATATGATTGATGGTTATGTAGAGTAGAATGCATTTGGATAGTATCTACTCCTTTTATTGGCATTTCCAGGAGGTGTTTAGATACGCAGATAAATCCATTGGTGAGAGAAATATTGATTTTTCCAAGAGAAAAGAAGCCTCAACCTTTAACAAACTTGGACTTTCTAAGCCTGCAGAGAAATGAATCCTTACTTTAAATTCATGAAATCGAATGAGGGTCCTGAACTTGTTTTAATGGGAATAGTTATGATGATGACTAAATACTGTCATCAATATTGTGATATGACTGTCAGAGATATAAATGTATGTTGTTTACTATGTGAATCAGTTGTCAGGATAAAATATAAGACAATTGTACAGAAAATCTCACAAACACATACAGGATTCTTTAACCATTCAGTTGCCTATATATCTCTGCCTCTATATTCTGATTTTTTTTGTTTTTTGTTTTGCCTTTTTTGAAATTAACAGCCAAAGTACCCTATAGTATTTTTAAAAAGAATAGGGAAGCTTTTACAAAATTCCAGAAGGCATCTTACAGAACAGTCCTTTGGATTTTAAGTCCAATTGTTCTGAAACAGAAAAACAAACATATCATCACAAGAGTCTTCCTACAGCTAGTATCTAGATGTCCATTTATTCCTATCCCCTCTTTTCTGCCTTTTAATCAATTATCTAACCATAAGAGGACCTGTCACTGTAACCCATAATTATTCAAGAATTTTTAGTGACAAAAGCTGTGGAAGATTTAAATATGCCATGTCAAATGGATCCTCTTGGCTGTGGAATTCTGGGAGTTGAAGTCCACATGCCTTAAAATTGTCAAGGTTAAGAAACACTGCTCTATAATATATATGCCTATTTATTTATTTATGTACGTATTTATTTTTATCCTACCTTTACTGTTTTTATTAAAATAGAATATATGGTTTTATATTGAGAGTATTACGTTTATACTCTCTAATAATTCCACATTCTCCCCTATTTCTCATTCTCCAGGCAAAGCAGAGAGCAATTGGGGTGGGGAAAGGACTAGCAACAGCAGCAGCTCCAGCCTAGCAAGCTTCTCAGTTCTTGCTTCATACAGAAGGGAGCATTTAGCCTAGCTAGTGGGGAGATGGCTTAACTGGGCATTAGCTGCACACTGGCCAAACTGGTGACAACTGGCTGGACAGACCCTGAAGAGATATAGTGGGGCAAGCCAGGAGGAGAAAGTCCCTTCACCGTGACTCTCAGCAGCATCTGCCACAGCCGAGTGCTTTTCCTTTGGTTATCTAACATGCAGTTGCAAGTATGAAAAAGTAACCAACCTCTGTAGGGCAATCAGTTTAATTTAAAAGATGGCTAGATTCAATAATTAAGTATGCCTTTAAATAATGTTGACAATTTAGGCTAGCTCTGGCTAATATAAATCTCATAAGCTTTGACTCCCCTTTTCATGATAAGTAATTAGTTTCAGTTATAAAAGATCAAGATGATAATGGAGGATAAAAAGAGTAAAAAACTCAGACTGAGTTTAAACTGAGCAGATGATTCTGGAATGTGCAGAATGCATATGGGTAAATATACATGTATTAAGCAAAGGCTTCCAAAGAGCACATTAGCTCTATGCCCTTTTGAAGATAACCAAGAACTGGTCAGCAAATTAAAAAAAAATGAGTAGTTGATTCATCAGGCTTATAAAAAATGGATAATAAGGAAATTGAGTGCCAGATCACAAAGAATACCCAGCACAATAAAATATTTGTGAATTATTTGAGTTCATTAAAACAAAAGCTAAGCATTGGTGCTGAATTAAATGCTGTCTTTAAATCCATGAAATTTATAGTGGTAGTAGTTAGAATACTTTTCTGCTACAGTATTTGATACAGCACTATATAGTAATTGATGGTTGATTGCCCCAGTTGAACCCAGCTAGTTTCTCAACCAATACCTTAAACTGATCCAGTCCATCAATTGATTTCCAATCAAAATGTCAAGTACAGAGTTTACAAATTATGTTTAGTATATTAGACAAAAGAAATCACAGATACGATTTTTCCCCTTTCTTACAAATTGGTTCACTGGCTTCAATCGTTAAGGGAGCTAGAGGAAATTACTGGTAGGGTGAATTAAAAAAGTCCATGCTGCGTCTTCCCATGATGACCTCTTAGAATGGAAGAATTACTCCTTTTGACATTTCACCAAGAAATATCAGCAAGTTTTCCTGCTGATTTCCCAGTTTTCATTCTGTTGCTGTTACTTTCTGGATGTCCTCTGGCAAGCAGAGCTATGAGAGTAAGATTATTCAAGACTTACATGGTGGCTTTAATGATTTTGTCCTTAGCCCCAAGGCATATCTTAAAGGCTTTTATGGGTATCTTCAAAACATGGGTCCCATCATAATTTCTTGGATGGTATATAGTTCCCTTCTAAATTCTTCTATGTAGTCATTCAAATTAAGGGATACTTGGCTGTATAATTACTTCATCAGTCGTGTATACCAGTCTTCTCTTCTCATCTCTTTTAGTTTAGAATAGAATAGAATTCTTTATGGCCAAATGTGATTGGAAACACACAAGGAATTTGTCACTGGTGCATAAGTTCACAGTGTACATACAAGCAACAAATGATAATCATAATTATAATCATAAAATACAAACATAAATCACAGATACAACACTCGTGATAGTCATAGGATACTAAGGCAATCAACATAAATCTTAATAGACAATAAAAGCAATCAACATAAATCAT